ACTTTACAAAAAGACAGGATGGAGATAACACTCCATTCCATTTCACATATGAACAAGCAGCTCAGGGAGGTCAGGGGGCCCAGAGCCAATAACAGAGAAGTGATACTTCCAAACCACCAATGCTTACTCCTTTCCCTCTCCTGCACAATCATACTGTCACCAAAATCACTGCTGTCACTTCCTCCTCTTCATCATCAGCACCATTATCATCATCATCGTTACAGTAAGGAATTTAATGGGACATATATCACCCACAACTTCAGTTTATACCTGGAAAGAGAAAAAGAGTAAACTAGCACCAAAACACCAGCAAATGAGAGACAAAGACATTACCTAGTCATGACGTAGAGTATCACAGAGGGCAAGTTTGCAGGGGGTACATTTCCAGGAATAGATAAATGTCAAGGAGTGCTTAAAAAAGAATCAGAGGGGGGCACCTGGGTGGTTCAGTTGGTTAAGCATCTGCCTTCAGCTCAGGTCATGATCCCAGGGTCCTGGGATAGAGCCCCATGTCAGGCTCCCTGCTCAGCGGGGAGTCTGCTTCTCCCTCTGCCCCTTCACACCTCCTGTGCTCACACTCTCTTTCTCTCTCTTTCAAATAAATAAGTAAAATCTTTTAAATAAAATGTATTTAAATACATTTTTATTTATTTAATATAATATTTATATTAATATAATATTTTTATTATTTTATTTATTTACTCATTAAATAAATTTTATTTAAATAAATAAATTTTACGTACGTATGATTTGTGTACCAAAGACAGAAAAAAAAGGGAATGGAGATGCAAGGAGAACCTTAACTGGTCCCCTAAAGATGGAAGCTGGCAAAATGTGGCCACAGTATGGTCCCCTACAGCAGGCATACAGACTAAGAGGGAGCTAGAGAGAACAGTTGGGTAAGGGGAAACCATGATGAGAACTGCCACCTAGAGGAGGCCCTGCGATTTTCTTCAGATGCACATTTCTTCCAATTGTATGAATGTTCAAAAAAAAAAGAATTACAGAGGTCAAAGGGAAGGACCCATGATGATTTAGGAAGGTAGAAAGAGCAAATTTTGTCTGAATTATTAAAAGTTTTATGAGAACAAGGAACGTTCTCTGAAAGACCACATTGTGGTCACAGATTATGACCACTTCTGCTCCTTTCTTAGAAAATGTTCTGTTTCCAGCATTACTCCAAAGTATTTTTTAATGCCTACTGGTTTTGTTAACTCCCCCGTCACAGCTCCCTTGTGCCCCCAATTATAAACATCTTGCTCTTTCCTTGAAACTGGGAATATCTTGGTTAGGCTATTAAAAACATGAGGATTCTGAGCCTTCCTGTAGGATAACAAGTGATAATTATCACCCAAACATGGGTTTACCTCTTCAGAGGTTCAAATTTAATTTAAATGTTGGTACAATTACTATTACAGACTGCACTTTGAAGATCAATCATTTAAAATATTTTGGTGTAACCCATTAGATCCCAAAGTCTTTTGCTTTCCCAGAGAACTGGTTTTCCACTGAGGGTATCTGAGTGGCCTTTGAAATGCCCAACCAAACTGTGAACTGTCATAAAAGCTGGGGTAAGAGATAAGGGGTAAGAAAAGGTTCCAGTCACCCAGGCACATTTCTGCTTTTTTGTGCAAGCTTCAGATGAAATACAGTCACTCAATAAAGTCCTTCTGTTTCTCTTTCCCTCCCTCCCTCCCTTTCTCCCCATTCGTCCAGAGAGGGGAACCCTAAACCCTTTGGACCCCTGCCAGCAGCACCAAAAGAATCTGTTGACTATTTTCCCAGGGAATTCCTGCCTTAAATGTCAGCAGAGTACAACTCCCCAGCCAAAGCAGAGTCTGCCTGGACCTGGATCAAGGAAAATGTGCCTGCTATACCAAAAGGGAAGACCTGGATCCCTGGGGCAGGGGGACGGGGCGAGAAATTACCTATGACAGTTTCCATGTCCATTGGAAAGACCCCCAGTTCCCTCAGATTCACCCTCCTGAGAGATGGGAGATGAAGGCTTGGGTTCCTTGCGGGTTCTTTGATTATATTTATTTCCCTCTTTTGGTGGCAAACTGTATTTCTGGAAGCCACTCTGAATGGCAGCAGTAAGGCAACATCTCTTTGACAAGGGAACAAAGCTCGATTAAAGCCCTTTGTTGTGGGGGTTCTGGTTGTGGCTCCTGCTGTTATTCTGTTTATTTGTTGGTTTTTAATGAACCTCCTGATATATAAGTGCTCTGGGGGGAATTCATGATGCTGAGACTCATGAAAAGCAAAATAAGATTTATGACTTGCGATTGAATCTGCCCCACCAGCCTGGAGACACTTCCCGTCTGGTATTGAGGCATTGCTGGTGTGTTTTATCCTTTTGTGTTACTTCAGTGTCTGAATACATGAAGAAATATTAAAAGTTCCGAGGGCAAAGGTGGGGGAAGGAGTCCACAAACCCCAAAGAAATACATTAGCACCAAAAGAAAACAGTATGGTGTGTTACATAAAAAATTTGGAAGCAAATCGGGTCCATCAGCTGGGTTTGGCTGAGTACTCTTGAAATTTTCATTTACTCTTCTCTCATTTTTCTCCTGGAACACTGATCTTAAATTAATGTGCCATGTTACGATCCTCCCTCCAAAGATCAGACCACTGTACAATAAGAAAGTCAAAAAGATGTAATCAGTAAGTTGTGACTCCATTTTTTTTTTAAAGGAATTATGCCCTTTTCAAGTTACCAATGGGGGGCGGGGACTAGATTCCAGGACGCCCCTGGGTGGCTCAGTTAGTTAACCGTCTGCCTTCAGCTCAGGTCGTGATCCCAGGGTCCTGGGATGGAGGGTCCTTGGTCAGTGGGGAGCCTGCTTCTCCCTCTCCCTCTGCTGCTCTCCCCACTTGTGCTCTCTCATGCTCTCTCTCTCTCTCTCAAATAAATAAATAAAACCTTTAAAAAATTTTAAGATTCCAGATCTCATTTGGCCCTGAGCCCAGGCCAGTTCCAAACTGATCGACTTAGGGCGCCTGGGTGGCTCAGTGGGTAAAAGCCTCTGCCTTGGCTCAGGTCATGATCCCAGGACCCTGGGATCGAGCCCTGCATGGGGCTCTCTGCTCAGCAGAGTCTGCTCCTCTTCTCTCTCTGCCTGCCTCTCTGCCTACTTGTGATCTCCGTCTGTCAAATAAATAAAATCTTAAAAAAAAAACAAAACTGATCGACTTAGAAGCTGTTCTTCGCATTCACCAAGGCTTTCACTTCATATTCCCCACACCACCCCCACGAGCACATCAAAACTGTTTTCTTCCATCATTATCCTGCCTGCATCGCCCCAGAAAATCCTACTGGAAACGCTGTCCCTAGTCCAAAGAAAAGTCAGGCAAGCAGCAATTTTGGACAAGACTGGAAAGGTTGCCGGAGAATCGGTAACACTGCCTCAAATATTTAAAAAGACAGTAAGTAATACCTGATAAGAAAAACTACCTCCAGTAGGTGAAGGGTTAATCCCTGGTCAATTTTCAGCCACTCTGCTGAGAGTACTAATAAGTGCTTGAGTTGGTGCCAATGAGGGTGGCCCTTCCCTTGATGGGAATAGCCATCCCTTAGGAACTGACTGTCAACACATGCTACCAGGGCAGTGATCAGCCAGCCAGAAGAAAGGGAAAGAGTCTGAGAAACCGCGGCAACCAAGTTTGCTGGCACTTTGTAAAATGGTGACGGGAACTTGCCACGGCCAGGGAGTGAATGCTAATGAGCCTAGGGCAACCTGCAAAGAGTGGGCCTGAAAAACGTCCTCTCAGTGATCAGTGGCCCCAAGGGAGCACCACTCATGGTGGATTCCTGTGGAGAAGAGAGAAGACCATGGGCTTCATTCACAAGAAAGAACCTAAACACTGCATCGTTTGTCCTTGGGTTCATAGACCTCAGAGTCACTTCTGACTCTGGTCTTAGGGTCAGAGCGATTAGCCCTTCTGTCTAAAAAATGGAAGTTTTCAAATTTTTAAAAAATATTTGTGACCCGGTTCTTTTTTAATCGTGCTCCAAAATCTGAATGATTAAGGGCTTTAAGAATCAACATCAAATTGTTTACATGTTCTTTGTGAATTCACATCAATGACCCCTTCCCCCTCTGGACAGAATTTATTCCTACCTTCAGGGAGAACATTTTAACAAGGCTAATCCTCTAAACCCCCACCCCATGGACAACCATACTGTGCAACCACATTCTTAAGGATGTAAAGTCAACAACTTTTGTTATCTGAGAATGCTTGAGAGAATAATAAAATGTTCCTCCGAAATTCACACTCAAAATTTTCATCCCTCTCTAATGGCTCTTCACCCATTCCCAAATCCCAAGTCCCCAAACAAGACGAAAAAACAGAAAATCATAGTTGTGATGCATTCTTCCGAACCAGGCCCCACAAATGATGTCGTCAGTCTTGTCCCTAGGTTTGCAGATATTAAATTTGCGTTCCATTTCCAAAAATTTTATCCCCACCCAACCTCCATATTTTAAATTTGCTACTTCTTACTCAACAATTGTTATTAACGTAACAGTCAGTGGAGCACCCTGGAATAGTCTTATTTCCTATTTTTCCTATTTTCCTATTATCCAAATCAGTGTTACCAAGGTACAAATGGACTTATCTACTGTACTTAAAACGCTACTTCTCAGATCAAAAACTTCAAAAGAAGCCACTGGAAATTCAGCCTCTCAAAAGCAAATATACTACAGCCCAGATCTCAACCCATCTCAACTGCTGGATAACACAAATCTGTTTTCTCATAGGTGCCAAATTTCAACTACGACACATAACCAAACAAGACAAATTCTCAGCAATCCATTGTGGTGAGAAGAATTGAAATAAAATTGGGGGAACTCCTCAGTTTCAAAGATTACCAGCTAAAGAAATGCAATGTAAGCAAACATTTTGTGTTCCTGAAATGCCCTGTGTCTCGGGTGATCAGGTAGAGAGAAGTTATTTCAAGTTCAAATATAACTTGACGATTGCCACATGGTGCAGAGTCTTTCCACCCCTACACTCCAAAAACCCAATCAGACAAGTGGCCGTAATCTGACTCCCAGTGCACTGGGAGCTGCAGGGCAGGCAATGAGAGCTGCACTCTGGCCAGGGAAGGCATGAGTGGCAGACCCGCAGCAAGGCAGTGGGGGTAAGTCCTTCTTTGCCTTAAGGGAACAAAGCGCGGGGCCAAAAGATGAAACTCTTTTATTATAGATATATGTGTCTTCTCAAACAGAATCTAGAAGGCAACTATAGGGCAGGTAGGTGATTCTTTTAGATCTGGGTACTTGGCATAATCATAAGAGAGGCATAGGGAAGGGAGAAGAAAAAAAGGATGTTTTGTTGCAAAATCCTCCAAATATCTGAGACCTGTGCATGCACAGGGAAATTACCCTATGGAAGGAAATCTATCTGCAGTATTTTTCATCAGAAAAATTACTCACCGGGAGGCTCAGCTGTCCAGAAGTGGATCAGGCTGTGTGCTCAGCTAGAAAGTAATGTGTCTGGTTCAGTACAACCCGGACACATCAACAAACCCCCTTTGTTCTGGGGCGAGAGAAGCAAAACAAATAGTGTTGATCCATTTTCGGAGAGTGTGAACGCATAAGGGAGCATCGCCGATAATAACAGGAGCCATGACAGACTCTGCCTGCCGAGGTGAGCGCTTGGAAGGTCAGGGGTATGTATGAGCTGCCCGGCAACCCTGGGGTTCACAGCTAACGGAGGCTGTTGGCTCTGCCCTGGAAGGACATCAGATTCTGTGGGTTTTCCAAAAAAAAAAAAGCTAAAAACACTGTTTAGGAGTATATTTATCTATTGGGGTTTTAAATTTTTTTTTATTTTTTGATGTTGTTTTAATTTCTCTGGCTGATGAAAATTTAAAGCTGAAAGAGCAAGTGAGTTTCTTAAATTAGGTCTCTGGAGAGGCGGGAGAGAAGAGGCAGGGAGAGAGAACTTGGGGGGCTGGGGAAAGTGAGGGAGCCAGGGTGTAGCCAGGAGGCGGCCTTTTGCCAGAGCCCGCCTCTCCTGGTGAACCTTGCTGTTGAAAAGGAACCTGAGGTGTCCTGCCCACCAGCCTCCTTGGCTTTCTGCTTTGTCCTCTTCCTTTTTCCCACTTAATCCAGCCATAGACGACCAGCACCTGTGGTAGCAGCCAGGGCTGCTGGTGAGTTCAGTTCATTCCTAGCTTCTTTTCAATCTGTGAGTTCTTTAAGTTTCTCCCCCTTGGGGATATTTTTAATGTCTCCCTCAGGGCATGTTTCCTGCTCCATTCCAAGGGCTGTTTTGGCTCTTTATTTTCTCTTTCTCTAGGGAATATGATGCCATTGTCCTCTCAGCTGGGCTTTCTTGTAATTACTTAGAGGAGTTCACAGCCAGGGGACACCTAGGACAGGCAGAGCAGGCTGTGCCCCCTCCGGAGCCGCCCGGTTTGGGCCAAAAATGGGTTTCTCCTTCCAACTCGGAAGCAAAGCCCGGTATCAAACCAGAGGCTGAGCTGAGATCCTAAAGGTCAAGGGAGAGTTCCCTAGCTCTTTTGGCCCAGCATTTCCCCACTGCTCATCCAGAACCCAGGGTGGGCGCGGGGTGGGGGTGGGGGGTGTTCCTCTTCCTTATACATCAAGGGAAAAGCTGTAGTAACTCTAATCCGTTCAAATACCTGGCTTTCTCGCCTAACTCTTTTTTCATAGCCCTCTGGTGATCAGTGTTTCCACACTCCTTCCCTCTCACCACTATCACGGGCAAAGGATAAGGCTAAATGCCTTGAATAATGGGGTAACTAGAGTAATTGTCCCCCACATTGGGAATTCTAGCCATTTCTTACCCAAACCAGCAGTTGGCATTAATATCCTCAAACCCGATCCCTTCTCAGTTCCGAAGATCCTCGGACAGTTAAGAGGAAAACAGACTGGAGGAAGAAAGTGCTTGCCGCACCCCACTCTCCTCCCCACCCCAATACACATACAAGGTCCCCGCCGTCTTTCTGGGCCACGCAGGAGGAGGAGAAGGCCGCCAAGAAGACGCCGGGGAACAGCCAGTCCCCGTGCAGCCTCCTGCTCCGAGGGCCACTGCCCCCTGCCCGGCGTCCCCCGGTCCCGGAACTCGGCTGCCCTGAAGGGCGCGGACCAGGTGCCTGGGGCGTCCATACCCGCCTGCAGGGTCTCTTTGGGGAAGCATGTCTGAGGGGTCACGTCGGGGGTCGAGAAAGGGTCGGGCACAAGATGGGACTGTCCCCCAGGCTTCCAAAAGCACGGCGCAAGCCAGGATGCAGCTGCGGCTGCCGGGACGCCTGGGACAGGGGCGGGGCGGGGGCGGGGCAGCGACTGTTTGTCCACCTGGCACCCGCGCAGGGGTGGCCGCCCCCCCCCCCCCCCCCCGCCCCACTCCCGGCCCGAGGCTGACACGGCCCAGCGCCGCGCGCCCAGGTCCGCCAGGGAGGCGGAGAGCGTGTCCCCGTCGCCGCTCCGGCCCTGGCAACTCCCACCGCCCCTGCCAGTCACCCTGAGCTCCCCTCCACGGGACGACCGGGCCTCTCCAAAGACCAGCTTCAGCACCCCGGCCTCCTCGCGCGCCTGCTCCCGAAATCCGCAGTCTCTGCTGGGGAAGAGGAGCATCGCGCTCCACAAATCCATTTTCAGAATGCCATTTTGCGCAACCAAGGGCAAAACGGCAAAAAAACAAAACAAAACAAAACAAAAAACCCCTCCCATTTTGTGTGTGTATTGCTTTACGTTCAAACTATAAATGGCATGTTAAAAGTACAGTGAAACTTAAAAACTTACTCTGAGGGAATTAACTCTTGCTCTCAAGTACATGTATTCCCTTCTTCGTTCCTTAAGAAACTGAAGAAACCGTATTTCCCTTTCTAGGCACTCAACGGTGCTACTGAAAGAGCTTTGACTACTAAATAGGAGGCGGCCAGCGTCACCATTTGACTGTTAAGGAGACCATTAATTAGGAAGGTTTCCTGGAAGCATTCTTTCTTGATATGCAAATAACCTTTGAGAGGGCCATTCCCCACAGTCGGGCAAGATTACATGTACGCCTGGAGTCTTCACCCAAATTCGTGAACCCTGCTTTGGTAGACTGATACCATTTGTTTTCTTTTCAGTAAGTGTGGACCATTGTGTAGAAGAGAGAACATCATGGTGGCCTTCAGAGGGGTCTGGACTCAAGCTTTCTGGAAGGCAGTCACAGCAGAATTTCTGGCTATGCTCATCTTTGTTCTCCTCAGCCTGGGATCCACCATCAACTGGGGGGGAACAGAAAAGCCCCTACCTGTCGACATGGTTCTCATCTCCCTTTGCTTCGGACTCAGCATTGCAACTATGGTACAGTGCTTTGGCCACATCAGCGGCGGCCACATCAACCCCGCTGTGACAGTGGCCATGGTGTGCACCAGGAAGATCAGCATCGCCAAGTCTGTCTTCTACGTCACAGCCCAGTGCCTGGGTGCCATCATCGGAGCCGGGATTCTCTACCTCGTCACACCTTCCAGTGTGGTGGGGGGTTTGGGGGTCACCACGGTAGCATCTTTGGCTCTTATTTTCAAACTAGGACTTCAGGCTTCTTGCAGACCCCTGCTACATGACACCCCAATAGCCTGAGAGAATTTCCTAAAACTGCTAATTTCTTCTTAGAAGATTTCTGATGACTCTTGATATGCTTGAAAACTCATCCCAGCAACACTGATTGTATCCATATATAATCATTGTTCCTCATCTAGTGACTTGAATATTATTAGGCTAGGTTGCACAAAAATTGTGGGGTTTTTTTCCCCTCGCTCTTGCTCCCATCCTAGCGACTATACTAGACTATATATTTAGCTTAAGGCATTTTTTATTACAACTATTTGTTGGTGCACTAGCAGAAGAAACAATTTTGTTTCCTATCACATTCATGAGATTTAAAATGATCTACATCAAGGGCCACACTTAGAACAATAAATTGGCGCTTGATCCTAGTTTTGTCCTTAACTGGTTAGGAACATCAGTTGTTAGCTCAGCACCAGGATTGATTAAAAAAAAAAAAAAAACCCACACAGAGTTTAAATTTTAATTGAAATGTATATTAATTAATTTAAACCTAATTAATGGATTTAATCATTGCCTTATACAATTATAAGATTCTCAAGAAACTCCTTTATAAGTTAAGTGCAGCAGTGGCACACTTTTGCTTCCTTTGTAGAAAAGAACATTCAGCACAAATTCCCGCTTGGTCATTGTACAAGTAATTAACTATCTGTGATGACCCAAAATGAGTGGAAATGTATTCCTTTTTTTTTTTTCTTTTTTTGGAAGCAGGGGGAGCATCTCACTTGTGGGGTAGAAGAGATGATTCAAATTAACCATTGCTTTTTCCGTGATGAAGTATGCCTTTCACTATGATATGTTATCACAGAAAATATACTCATGCTTCAATTCAGATGGAGCATTTTTTCTCTTTCTAGGTTCATGGAAATCTTACCGCTGGTCACGGTCTCCTGGTGGAGTTGATCATCACATTTCAGTTGGTGTTTACTATTTTTGCCAGCTGTGACTCCAAACGGACCGATGTCACTGGTTCAGTAGCTTTAGCAATTGGATTTTCTGTTGCAATTGGACATTTATTTGCAGTAAGTTTCCAAGTCCATTTAAATAATTGACTCATTTCATTTGCCCTCACCCTAGAGCTGGCTTAAAGATGTTGTGTTTTACAGCTGTAGTCCTTTAGTATCCAGCCACGTCTGTCCATTTTAGGTGATTATTTTCTTAACTTTGTGATGAGAAATGTTGATATAGCTGCTAACATCTTGACAGTTCCTCTAACTGACTTGGCAAATAGTAGCAAATTGCAGTGAAGGCTTTCTGCTACTAGTCCCATCTCCGCAATGTCTGAAGCTGTTTTCTTTTCTCCTGTAGATCAATTACACCGGTGCCAGCATGAACCCCGCGCGATCCTTTGGACCTGCAGTTATCATGGGAAATTGGGAAAACCACTGGGTAACCATCATGTTGATAATTCCTGTGCTCCTACAGTTGGGGACAATTACCCACAGAGCTCTTTTTTTTTTTTCCTTTGCTTGCCAGTTTTCTTACTCCCTTCCAACCTTGACTCCCCACTTTCCTACGCCTTTCATAGAGACCAGGGAGAGACTAGCCCAGATTTACTATAAAACATCATATCTTATATCTATTCAGGGCCTTCCATAATAGTCTTTCTTTTTAAATCAGCACTGCTCTGGGCACTGTATCTGATAGACTTACCTATGGGGAACAAGCAAAAATCAGGGTGTTTGGTGAATACGGAGTTTCAATCACTGAAACTAAAGCCTTCCTGGCAATAACAAAATATACACTTGCAAAAAAATTAAAAAAAAAAAAAAGAAGAAATAAATGCTTAAAAGCACTGTCCATGAACCCAATTAATAGTATGTGAGCTGGAAGCATTTGAACTGCAGATGGAGAGGAATAAATGATGCAAATGTTTATGCCGTTATCACCATAACCATAGCTGAAACATCAATGACTTTCCGAAGAGGCATGCTTTCCAGTCTCGTGGCTAACCTACTTATTTATGGGGTGGCAGGGCTTCCAGAGCATAAGGATGTCCATTTCTAAATACCGCAATCCATTCTATTTCAATTGTTTCTTACAACACAGGAACTTAAATCCATTAAGTGAATAATAAGGCAGTTTTAAGGCTACTCCTAGACTAACTTAAAATTACCAGTAAAAACAGGACACTTACGTAAGCCAGCCTCAGGTAGGGCTGCCTTTGATTGTCATTGATGTGCTGTGAAGGCTATTTTAACAAATTTTATTTTTAATTCAAGAATATAACTATATGTCACTTGTGTTTTAATTTCATTCATACAGCCGTTGTTGACCCAGTTACATCCTCTCAACCGCAGTGCACGTTACAAATGAGAGGAAATCTCACCACTACTATCGACATTTGCTGCTCAGAAAGTGTACTGAGCCTTTAGACGTAATTTCAATCCTCAAAGAATGAGAGTCAGTGCTCAAAAGCCCAATTTTGGACCCAACCATGCAAAGAATGTCAATATATACCATCCACAGGATTGGTCATTTTGCCACTGATATTTCCATTTATGTCTCAAAATTTGCCATATTAACAGGAATGGAAATTTTTAAGGGGCAGTATATAGTTATTTATGGTAAAAGTACAACTGTAAGTTCAACTTTCTTAAATTCAAACTATTTTTACAATTACAATTTAGACAAATAGCGAGTTGAAATTAATATGTCAGTTATGAGGACTTTAAAATGTGGGTGAAATTATATATGTTTATTAATTACCTAGTGGTTGTGGTAGGCTAGCTAAAATTCGACTGGTAGGAAACTTCTTAACTTGTTGACTGAATTAAAGGTTTCCCCTTATTGCTATTTTATAACAAACTTGATCCCACTGAACACAAAGGCCCATTCTGTAGCAATAGGTGTGTGGATTTTAGAACTAATTTATAGCATATTTACAGACAGAGAGCTTGACTGATAGACTACAATAACATCAAAGTTTTCTAGATAGTGTAATGACACTGTTTCAGCTTTCCTCTTCGTACTTTCCATATATCTATATTTTTATCAAGAAAAATTATTTACCTTTATAAATTTTGAAAGTCCTTTTAAAGTACGTTATGACTTTTGTTTGGGAATAACACTTGAAACTGAGATTTGCTCTTTTTGGGGAGTGTATAACTAGATGTCTTCTGTGTTGGAGTTTTGGGGATGCATCTAATTAATTATTTAGAAGACCTTTGCCTCCCTTGTGGGAGTCGTAGCATGGGGACTAGAACATATCTAACAATCAGAGGGCAAAGACACTTAAAGGAGGGATCTAGTTTCTTCTCTGATTGGGCAGGGAGAAGGTCAACTTTTACATGGTTTCTTTCTGTTCAAGACAAGGAGCTTGGTCCTTGTAACCACTCTACTGAGAGTTTCCATGTGAAGTATATGAGATCAGCAACAGCTCAAATTTTGAATTTTCTTTAGAATTATCAGTGAGGATGCTACATGAAATTCACTTACAGAGTGTCTTAAGCCAGAAGCATTCCTTCTATTTTTTTTCAATTGAGAAAAGGGGAGTCTCCTAAAAAGCAGGGCAGTAGTGCAAAAGAGAAGTTTAAACTCACACAGACCCGAAATCCTAGCTCAGGCACTTGGTAACATGAAATCCTAAGCAAGCTTCTTGCCCTCTCAAGGTGTCCGTTCCTTACCCATAAAATCAGGACAATAATCATATCTACCTCAAAGGTTCCTGTTGGAATCATGGGAGTTAATATAAGAAAAAGACTAAGTACAGCTGGCTCAGTAAACGAGGTTTCCATTGCTCCGCTGAATCTGTTGAAAGAATGTCTGCTTTTCTGCCGCATATATGTACTCCAAGTAAATGTTGAAGTTTACCAAAACTTAACATTTAGTTTACTCTAAACACAATAACGGTATGATAAAAAGCTTCCATTTGTTGAATGAAAAATCCTATAGAGTTGCTAATCCTCAACTAACCATCACCCATAAACAAGGTACTGGGTTTTTTTCACCTAGTGACCATGGTAGGAACCATGAGGATGAAAGAAGAGTAATAAACAAATCATGAGGTTTTCAATTAAATCAAATCACCAGATTTTAGGGAAGGAAATCATGTAACATACAGGAGATGACTTATCACCAGTCTATTCACATACAACTTTATATTGTCTAGGAAACATGGAATGGAGCCAGTTGCTATGAAATTGGAAGGAATAAGTACTTTACAAGGATTATTTCCATTGAATTTTTACAACCCATGAGGTCTGCATTATTATAATCCCCACTTTGCAGATGAGGAAATTAAGGTTTAAGAAGTCATGTACTGATGCAAGAACTCACCAGATTGTTGAGTGGTGGAGCTGGGAGCTGGGATTCCATCGATCACACTCTGCTGAATAACTAGATCTCAAAAGATAACATCTGTGTGTTGATTGCAGTTAGACGGGAAACCAACGTAAGATGGCAATATTAAGGAAATAAGAAAAGTACTCTCCAGAAATTCTTTTTTTTTTCCAGTTGAAGAACTCTTAGTGCACATTTAATGTGCCGTTCCCCCCCAAAAAGGAGCTATCTCAACTTTAATGATTATCAAGAAATGGAAAGGAAATAACTAATAAAAGCAAGAAAAGTGAAAACAGCCTTTCCCTGTTTTCCGTTCACATGTTATTTAGCAGTTTATGGATTTCTGATGTGCAGATGATATATTTTCTTATATTCTTTCCAATCCTGCTTTCTTCTGCACAGCACATTGGCTCCCTTAATGTCATCCAGCTAGGCTCTAGATTCGTGAGTTGTTCAAAGGAATAGTTTTCCTCCACTTTCACTCCATAACTCTTCCATCTTTTCCCCAGATATATTGGGTTGGACCGATAATAGGAGCTGTCCTCGCTGGTGGCCTTTATGAGTATGTCTTCTGTCCAGATGTTGAACTCAAACGTCGTTTGAAAGAAGCCTTCAGCAAAGCTGCCCAGCAAACGAAGGGGAGCTACATGGAGGTGGAGGACAACAGGAGTCAGGTAGAGACTGACGACTTGATCCTAAAACCCGGAGTGGTGCACGTGATTGACATTGACCGGGGCGAGGAGAAGAAGGGGAAAGACCCGTCGGGCGAGGTGCTGTCTTCAGTATGACTAGAAGATGGCACTGAAAGCAGACAGGAACCCTCAGAACAGTCCTCAGATTTCCTTCCACCCATTAAGGAAACAGATTTGTTATAAATTAGCCATGCGCAGGGTTGTTTTCTCATGTCTTATTATTCAGGGTAGATAAGAAATATTTCTTTGTTCCACCAAGGAGGAATGGAAGAAACCTATTGTGAATTCCAAATCTAAAAAAGAAGTCTTCCTAAAGTGTCCCCAAAGCAAATATGAATCCAGTGAATCCTGCTGCCATCCATGAATAATCACTTTAAAATGTCGATCAAGATTTGGTTAAGTCTTGCCTGGCAGAATTTAGAGACATACCTATCAGCTTAATCCTCCTCTACCATGGCCCTGGGATTGTTGATCCTTGTTTGAGTATTTAATCCATTAAGTCAAGTTTTTCAATGGCAAGGGACAGCATGTCACAGAGTCATGCACATTCAAGAGAGGAAATATAACATGCTCTTTTATGAGCAGTCCCTTACTGTGAACTACCTCAGCAAGACAACATTAACAAGGGTCATTGTTAATGAATTGTTTCCATTTTATATATGTCAAATACCCAACTTTCAACCTGAACTCCAATTCATAATATTCCTTCCTTTTCCTCAGTGCCCAAGGTAGTGCGGACAGAAAGCCCAGAAATCTGAAGAATGTTTAGACACCCTGTATATTTATTGTTTCTACCTAATAAAACATCCAAATCATAAGAAATAGCTATTAAGACAAACAGGACAAATAGACTCATATGATCTTACTGGAGTGGAGGGAAAATTGCCATTCTAAAAAAATCATAAGGAAAAAGGAATCTACATTCTGGAATCAAATAGTTGATCTGTTTTCAGTGCCCAGCCTCAAATACACCACATGAGGTTAACAATCAAAGCATTTAACCACTTAACCATGTTGCTTATTTTTTTAATTTATTGGCAAAACGGGGGGGGGGTGTTTGTTTGTGACTTTGGTTGTCTATATTTAAACATTAGTTGAGATTTCTTTTTGATAACAAGAACATAACTAGCTGAATCCTAACTTTTTGTTATTAAGCTCTGCTCACTCTGGAAGGTGTTAGGTGGGGCCCTGCCCGGCCCCCATTTCTGCTGCTCTCTCACTTCTCATAGGTTCGTTGATAGTCTTCAGTGTGGCGTGTGATGGTATTTTAATGAATGAAAATGCAGGAGAAACAAGGAAGGCCATGGTTACAGAGTGCAAGGGTGAGGACATGAGAACACTCCATAAGCAGAGCGGGCTAGATAACTGATTTTTCATTTTTAGAGATACTGTACCTAGGAACCCAACACTGTTTTTAAGCATTTTTATTACTAACTCATGTATTTGTTGAGACCTGTCGTTCTTCCTGAATGGCTGTGCCTTGTTAGTAGAATGGTCTCTGGGAACCCCAGTCTCTATCATCTTAACCACCCAGGCTAGACTTTGTCTTAGACAAAGAGCTGCAAATGACAGTTTAACTGAAAACACAGCTAGTAGGGAAGCAAAAACCCAGCCCTGCAAAGAACGGCTTGGAATTAAGCTGATAATCAAGGGCTTTCTTCTCCCATACACGGCTCCGAACATGTGCCACTTTTTAGTGTTAGTGGCAGGCGCGTGTCTGTGGCAGTGACATAATGGACCACTGTTCAACCTGATTCTCTTCGGTGCTAAGAAAGTGATGCTTGAGGTCCCCAGGGAGTCACCACACCAGGGCAAGGCCTGGGAGTGCCACTGGTGGTTTTCATGGCAGATTCCTATACCCCAGGCCATTTGCTCAGATGTGTGGCCCGCCACAGTCTCCAACCAGGGAGACCCATGGATCATTTCCTGTTTGGGGAGGCATCTATAGGAAACAGGGTGAGATTCTCATGATGGTTTATGCCTGTCTTTTCAAATGTTTGCACAGTATACCACTAAAGGCTGAAAATCGGGGGTGGGGCGGGGGGGCGCTGATGTAAGCTCAAAACATAATGCTATCAGCCAGGTCAAATATGTCAGCTCAGCAGTTATGTTAACAAGCATAAGTTAAAAAGATTTCTTTAATATGCTTACAATTTGCTGGCTTACAATCCATTTTATTCAGCCATATGGTTTACTTGTTATGCACTCACTTTTATACTCACTTCTAGTTAGAGTATTTAATAAGTTAGTGCTTAAAAAAAAAAAAGGCATGAATGATGTTTTTGTAAATTGCTTTCCAGCCACCAGCAGAGTGCCTGGCACTTAGTAGGTTTGTGTTAGTTAATAAAAATATATGAATTTCATTTAGGATTTAAGAATGTAAATAAATTTCTTCTAATCTTGATTTTGCTCAGTATTTAATAAAAGCTTGATTTCAAGGACAACTAAGGGAAGGCAATATAAATGTAAAAACCATAAAATATATTTTTGCGTTCTAATATTTTAGAGGTGTAGAGTGAATGAAAGCTTTGGTACTTTTTTTTCCCCTGCATATGAGACAACATATTTTGTATTTCACTCAAGGCTCTGCCAGTAAAAAGTAATGAAATTGTACCTTTCTAATGACATCTATGCAGCAGGGGTCTATTGCCTTGTGGATGGCACCAAATTATCCAAGTGTATTAGGAGACGAGGGCTTTTTCCTTTAATCCCTTCTTATTAATGAAGTGCATCACGCCGCTCCCAGGAGAGAGCCGCTGACAGATAGACAGAAGAGAGATCAGAGAGAAAAAACTGGAAGGACATAAATGAATTATACCCAGCCAGGAAGCAATGCCGGGTGTCTCTTCCCTATGGAAAAATACAAGCACCCCAAAACTGTAAGATGGTCCCTACAATGAAAATGTATATAGTTTGTCAAAAGAAGTACAAAGGGTAAGAGACATTTTTAAGTTTGGGGGGCTTTCCTAAATATTTGGGGCCCAACATTTGAATGTATTATTTCATTGTTGAAGTTGCCTTTTTTTGCCCCCCAGAGTCCTAAACTTTTACAACAGAAGGAAATATTGTCTGGTACCTGAATTGTTGGCTAAATGTAAGATTCCTACACCTTGTTTCTACCATTGGATACTTTTCATACATTCTTCCCCTTTCTGACTCTTCTAATGCCGTCGATAGGTCCTAGCTGTCTGGAAAAGGTTATGAAAGGATTAGAAATATTTGAATAACATAGATGTGGCATTAAACTATCTGATTAATTGTTAGAGTCTGATTCCAAATAGGACAGAATATTCTCTTAGGCCATGAAAGCAGGCAACTTAGACTACTGGTTCAAATTCAGTAACATAAGAAAATTCCAAATAGAGTAACAAATTCAAGCACTACCATTAATCCTGGCGAGGCCCTTTGTTGCTTCGTGTTGATACTACCCCCCGTGTGTTATAAACATTTGACAGAGAAATTGCCTTTGTGACAACAAGATGACAGTAGGAGCTCAAGAGACAGCCTTAGCGGACGATACAAGGCCAATATAACTTCTCATTATAAGCACTATAGATCAGGCAAATTCAGAATATCTTAGTCTGAAAGTAATTCTTTCCTAATATGTGTATGGCATCAAAATTATTAGGAAGATGTGACTACTATCTTGAAAGTATACAAAACTCACTTTCTTTACCACAAATTTTGTGTGCTTGCATTGGTATTGTAATACTTTATAGATCACCCCAAAATAGCAGTAACTTCTGAAATTCATAGTTCTCTGAAATACATAGAAGACATTTAATTCAAGGCTCAAAAACTGTGGCCACTCACTTTTGCAGATGACCATACCCTAGGAAAGCAGTCATAGTGTTACCCACGCGTGTTAAAATCTAAGAGCTGAAAATTACACCTAATTTCTATAACCCATTGGAATATCTTTTTAGATTCTCTTCGGGATTAATTAAATAAACATGCAGTTTATGAAAATATAATTGTTTATCACTTTTATGACCCAAATCACAATTGTAATTCATGATAAACTGGTGAGAATAAACTGAACATATGGTTATAGTCACAATTATTTATTAACTGAAATGTTATTCCAACATCAGAGCTAATGTTGTGATTTAAACTGTAACATCTAATATTTGGAAAAATCTATTAAGTATTAGCATTGTGGTTGCTTTCCATGAATTACTTTGTATCTCATACGACTAAGTTTGTGCAAATAAACTTTTAATGTTTGAAAAGTAAGCATTGCATCTGACAATGTTTGAAAATTCATTCCCAGTTTTTCCAAGTTAAAATGTAAGAGCATCCTTGAGAATGACCCAAAGGTTTAGATATTTGAGTATAATCATCACCAGATGAAAGACTGGTGGACTCTACATAAGGGAATGCATTCTTGGAAAGGCTGCAGAGGATACACAATGGTAGGCCCTGATGTACACAATGAGCATTGTGCTTTCGCGGACTTACTTCTAAATGTTCACATCCATGCAGAATAGGTCCTTGAAGGTCAGTTGGCATTACAGGGAGTGTAAAAGTGAAGATGTTAACAACCGTGACTCAGATGAGGCTGGTATTGCTAACTAGAGGATCGATCCTTAGGACATCTGGCAGATTCTGCCTACCCAGATGGATAATGTAGGCACAGGGAATACTGGGACACTCCCTTGGGTTCTTAGTTTGAGAGGCTCCTCAATTTTGAGAAGCTATAGACCCTTAGAGAAGAATTGAGGACAATCAATTACGTAGTGTGCCACCCATCAGGTGAGTAGCAAATGATGCCTTTGGAGCCGGGTGGGTACGTACCTCTCTTACAGCACTCGTCAGTGTTAGGCAACATGGCAAGAGCCCTATTTCACATTGTAGTGAAGGAGCTTGTGTAGGTATCTGTCTCCTCTACTGGCTTCTAAACTCCTTAAGGGCTAAGATGGTATTTTATTTATTCCGTACCCCCTACCCTCAGCATTGAGCACCAGGCTTGACACTTCGCTCAATATATGTTCATTGCATGAATGAATAAAGAACTTAAGGAATATCTCACAATCATTAGGGAATACTACAAAGCACCATACCTCAATCTAGTTGCTTTTGCTGTTGTGTAGATGTGGGTTAAATATTTGAATTCTTATAGTTCCAGTTAGGAGCCTAAAAGTAGCTCCAGCACTAAAGAAAAATCAAAGAAAAAAAAATGCACAGAAAGAATAAAACACTAATTGGATTTCTAAAATTTATACCTAATGTGTAGGCAACAAGACATGTTTTCATTGCTATATTTATATAATGGCCAGATGTTAGATGAAATTTAGCTCAATGAGTATTTCAGCAAGAAAAGTATTTTAACAAGCATGGGAAGCTAGAGATATAAATGTCAGACTGATTTTAGGTAATTATCCTGTTTGGAAAATGTCCAAAACATATGTCACCTGAATAATTCTTAGTTTGGTTTTTTTTTTTTTTTTTCCATTTTTCTATGTCTTCAGGTTTAAGGAGACATTGAGAACTCTGGAAAGCTGAGTTGAGTTCTCCTTGCACATAGTCAGAAACCTCTGAGAAACCATGGCCCTGATTTTTCAAAGCTTTATGGAGAGCATAATGAGAGCACATGGCTAGGGCTCAGTGAAAATATGGTGAGTGGATAGGTGGATGGAGCAGTGGCTGGAGGAGTGGATGCAAGAATCTCTCCACTCTGGGAGATACGCAGTTCATCTGTGAACAGATGGAAATTGTGGCCTGGATTCTTTCTTCCCTTATGAATGCATTGGCCATGGGTTAGGAAGGTCCAGGAGAAATGCATGGGGCTTTGGGGCGCCTGGGTGGCTCAGTGGGTTAAAGTCTCTGCTTCCGGCTCCAGTCATGATCCCAGGGTCCTGGGATGGAGCCCCACGTCTGGCTCTCTGCTCTGCAGAGAGCCTGCTTCCTCCTCTCTCTCTGCCTGCCTCTCTGCCTACTTGTGATCTCTGTCAGTCAAATAAATAAATAAATAAATAAATAAATAGAATAATATGGGGCTTTATAATTTATAAATTACTTCCAATCATTTAATCTTCATTAAATGGGGTATTACTCTAATTTTCATTTCCAAAGATGGGAGAACCAAGAGTCAATGAGATTAAGCAAA